ATTCTTCCATTCACAGGACTCGCACCTACCTGATTTCGGAAGAGATCGGGCCCTACTTGACTGGCAGCTCCTGTTCTTAAGAAATATATATAATGAATAATGAAAGCACGTGCAAAACGTCCAAGAGCTACACACGCTGCTACAGGATTGTCCGCAGACCCAGGCAGATGATCCAGTGTGCACACGTGCGCCGAGAGCCGCCCTATGGAGGTCACCGCCCTGGACTCAGAGTCTGAATGCTTGGCGTACCAGGCGTGTTCAGCTGTAGAGCATGCAAACACATGTTCGCTATTTACTGCCCTTTCCTGACACTGAACAACACTGAGAACGTCCCGGGCCAGCGAACAAGCCACCTCTGGTTTGGTGGACGTTCCCTGGTTAAACGACCATTGTTGAGGGGTCAAACGCCTCGTAAGCAGACACCGCACATCCTGCATGGAGCAAACGTTTCACCCAGGACCGCGCCATGTCACGTTTTCTTTTAAACTGCTGAGCACTGTGAAGCTGCTATAGTCTTTTCTGTCTACTTTTCTGTTTCAAAGCACTCCCTGGTGGCCAGACTGGAAACACAAAGGCAACCGTCTTTAGCACAGGAGGGAACAAACACCAATTACTTGACACATTTAAAGTTCCTCTCCCATGCAGACTGATCCTCAGTGACTCTGTGTCACATCCGCCCAAAATCCCGCCCGTCTCAGCCGTTTCCCGCCCTGCACACGCAGCGATGGCCCCGCTGGGGCAGAGCATCCTGCAGCCACCGAGCAAGGCCTGGCAGGTGCCGCGGGGCCTCGGGGAGCCCCTGGGGCTGGGCAAGAGCCGGGGGGGCTCCGGCAGCTGAGATCCGCAGCCAGCACGGGGCTGGGACCGCTCTACACCGACCGCAGCGAGCTACTCCTGCCTGAGCCCAGCAGGAGCAAAGGCCCGGCTTGAACCATTTGTAAATATGAGCTGGAGTTGCTGGGGTTTAACAGTTCTCAACGTTTCCAAGACCAGGGAGGGCCCTGAAGCGTGGCCAGCGACAGAGTCCCCGAGGAGAGCACAGCCCTCCCGCACACGCCCGAGGGTCGCTCGCCTGCAGCCTGGGGTGGAGGCAGCCCCCAACCTAAAGACCCCTGGACCGTCCGTCCCCCACCTCTGCTGAGCACCCCCCACGCGCTCGTCGGAAGCGCCAGCGTGCGCCAGGGCCCCGTGCCCAGCAGAGACACAGCCCCGGCTCAGCAAAACATCCACAGACAACAGACAGATAACACAGCACGGACACAGATGGACACGAACGTGAAACCTCTTACTCAACAATTAACAACACAGAAAGCACATCTACCCCCCTGCCCCCAGCAGCCATCACCATCAGAAGCGAGCAGTGCCCAGGGAAGGGGGGAGGCTCGGCCAGTCCAATATTGCTCCGTGTTTTAGGAGAGCGAGCCTGAGAGCTGAAGGATAATCCTTGCTGTTACTGTCCTTGAAAGCACGAGGGAGCGATGCATCAGGGTTGGAGCATTTCAGGTGTCTGCTCCGCACAGAGAAGCTGGTCCAGCAAAGCGTGATAGATGGTTGTGGTACTCGCAGAGTAAAATAAAGATCACCCCAACCGGCACAAATCTACAGCGTTTGTGTACATGTTGCAGGACAGAGCACTGAAGCAGCAGCAGAGAAAGCTTGGAGTTTCTTCCCCATCCTGGAGCTGTACTGAGGGCACCTACAAAATAACAGGCAAAACATCAGCTTTACAAAAAAGGTGATAAGCTTTGAGCTACTGATACACAACGGTAACAGATTTACCAGGAGCACCTGCCAAAGCAGGCAGAGGGGCTGGGGCTGCCCTTGACCTGGGGCTGCCCTGCAAGGGGTGAGGGGCGGCCAGCGTAGCACCAGAACCAAAGGATTTGCAAGATTTCGGGAACAGGGAAGGGGACAGAAGACGCCGCCCCAAAAGGATTTACCATCCCCTACCCAGCGGCCAACAGCAGATACTTAAGGGAAGTGTAAGGAGCGGGGCCAAGGGCTGCACCTGCCGCTCCTGCAGGGATCAGCCCGGGACCTGACCGGGCGCGGGGCAGCGCCCGACCCGCACGGGACTCACCTCACGGGGCTGCTGCTCCTCTGGCCCTGCCAGAAGCTCCCAGGGCATCTGGGCCGGCTCCAGGGGACTGTCCTTCCTCTGCTCGTGTCCTCAGCCGCTCCCTGCACTACCCCCTCTCCCCTGTTGTCGCAGAGGCCTGGTTGTTCCCCTCAGCTTTTACCCTGCCTGCTCTGGCCTCGGCTCCGGCTCAGGATGTTTCTGCCATCGGCTGCTCTCCAAGGGACATGACTCACACGGGTCTCCGTGCCGAGGGAGCACGAGATGTCCTGTGCCCCACTTCCCCCCCGCCTCGCCTTGGTTCTCGGCCCCTTCCCTCACACCCTCCTGGCTGACCCCTTGCGCGCGAGCTCCATCAGCTGCCCCTTCCCCATCCCTGTGCCAGGCGCATCCGCCCAATGAAAGCAGAGCTTCTTGGCTGCTGAGGTGTAGCAGCTTTGGGCTGCCCCTGTTCTCAGGGCCTCATGGCAACTGGGGCTTTGGGCCAATGGGAGCCGCTATTGACCCCAGGTCAGATTGGGCCTGGGGATAAATGGAGTCCCTGGGGAGCCATTCGGAGCTCATCCCCTGGAGCAGCAGCTCCGGTTGAGGACTCTCCCCTGGGGTCAGGACGCTGCCCTGAGCAGATCCTCGAGGGTGAGCGCCCTCACTTGTCAGGTGAGTGAGAGAGCGTTCGGGGTTGGTGTTAAACCCCAGGGAGGGGGCCTTTGTTCTGCGTTTTGGGTGGCCCTTAAACCCTAGAAAGCTGTTCTGTTCTCCTCTCACAGACATTCGAACCTGTAATTTACGGAGAGCTAGTTGCCTGTGTTAATAATAATTTATTATTTTTGGTGGTTGGCTGTTTAATAGAGAGCCCCCTCTCTCAGCTGACACCACTGCCCCACTCAATCTCGCCCCCTCCTGCTCCCATCACTCCTCCTTCTTCCAGGTGCTCATCGCCTGCAGCCAGAGCACTCGCCAACTCTCTCTCTTCCACTTCGCTCTCCTGCAGGGCCTCATCTTCTGCAGAGAGAACGCTCGCGAGGTCCCTGCCTTCCACTTCGCTCTCCTGCAGGGCCTCATCTTCTGCAGAGAGAGCGCTCGCCAGGTCCCTGCCTTCCACTTCGCTCTCCTGCAGGGCGTCATCTTCTGCAGACAGAGCACTCGCGAGGTCTCTCCCTTCCACTTCGCTCTCCTGCAGGTCCTCATCTACTGCAGAAAGAGCGCTGGTGATGTCTCTCACTTCACTCTCCTGCAGATCCTCATCTCCTGCAGCCAGAGCACTCGCCAGCTCTTTCTCTTCCACTTCGCTCTCCTGCAGATCCTCATTTTCTGCAGACAGAGCGCTCCTGACGTCTCTCCCTTCCACTTCGCTCTCCTGCAGGGGCTCATCTTCTGCAGACAGAGCGCTCTTCACGTCTCTCCCTTCCACTTCGCTCTCCTGCAGGGGCTCATCTTCTGCAGACAGTATGCTCTTCACATCTCTCCCTTCCACTTCGCTCTCCTGCAGGGGCTCATCTTCTGCAGAAAGAGCGCTCGCGATGTCTCTCTCCTCCATTTCACTCTCCTTCACGTCCTCATCTCCTGCAGCCAGAGAACTCGCCAGCTCTTTCTCTTCCACTTCGCTCTCCTGCAGATCCTCATTTTCTGCAGACAGAGCGCTCCTGAGGTCTCTCCCTTCCACTTCACTCTCCTGCAGGGGCTCATCTTCTGCAGACAGAGCGCTCGCGAGGTCTCTCCCTTCCACGTTGCTCTCCTGCAGGGGCTCATCTTCCGCAGACAGAGCGCTCTTCATGTCTCTCCCTTCCACGCCACTCTCCTGCAGGGGCTCATCTTCTGCAGACAGAGCACTCTTCACGTCTCTCCCTTCTACTTCGCTCTCCTGCAGGGGCTCATCTTCTGCAGAAAGAGCGCTCTTCCCATCTCTCACTTCCACTTCTCTCTCCTCCAGATTCTCATCTCCTGCAGAAAGAGTAATCATCAGGTCTTTCTCGTCAAATTCTCCCTCCTCCAGGTCCTCCTCTCCCTCAGACTCAGCACTTGCCACTTCATCTTCCCCTGAAAAACCTCCCTCCTTCATGTTCTCTCCCTCCGATTCCTCTACGCCAGAGTCCTCATCATCACTCTGAGAGAGGTCCTCAGCCCTCCCCAGCTCCTCGGGCTGCATTCTGCCTTCCTCCTGGCCAAGGTCTTCCCCTGCCCCTGACAGCTCCTCTTCCCCACTTCCCTGCTGTTCGCGTTCTGCCTAGTTCTCCATCCCCTCCACCAGAACTCCCTGTTCCCCAGGTGCCACCTCTGTGCCAAACTCCTTTCCTTTCCCTGTCGCCTGTCCTTTCGGATCTCCCTATGCCACGGCACTCTCTTCAGGAGCAGATTCCTCCACCACAAGCTGACCCTCTGCCTGCAGCACAGCCACTTCTTCCTCCTGGGGCAGAAAATCTCCCACCCATTCCACTTCTTCTCCTGCCTCTTTGGTGCAAACTTCTTCCTCTTCAACAAAATCTGCCTCCTCAGGTGCTTGTGTCTCCCCTACCATCTGCCCTTCCCATGCCACTTTTTTCTGCTGCTTCCTGCACATTAAGTGTTCTTGTTCCTTCTGCCAAGAACACTCCATCTGGTGCTATTAAATAATAATCAATATAATACTTTTTAATTGAGATTTGTGTTAGTGTTCAGGCTGTTTTACAGGGTTATTATTAAAGATGATATCTCTACCAAGCAATGAGGGGACATCAACATGGTGACAAGAAGAAAGCTTGCTGTGCTGCTTCTCATCATGTACCTTTGCTCTCACTACGTTTCTAGTGCTGCTGTTCTGGCATCTGGCATAACTAATTTAAGCCAAAATGCTGATGCATGACCATCTTTCAACTCTGACAGCTCTGCCTGCCCTCTGTACTCTCCCCCTTCCCCCACCTGCCTAGCGGGGAGCCCAGGTGTGTCTACGAAGTAGCTAGAAGCTTGACAGTAACGCTCAAAAGTTAAGAAATAGTTGGTAAATTGCTCATGTAAAATACACACACAGAGGAAAAAGAATACTCAGCTATTCGTGTCATTGCTTCCCATGGATTCTGTAATTACATCAGGGGAATAACACAAGGTCGATTCCTGCCCCTGGGAATTTCACAGCAATGCCCTCACTGAATTCGGTCTGTGGGGTCTGTCCCGGGACAGGCCCCCAGCAGCCTGTGCTGCGGCACCGCTGTTCTGTACAAACATGGCAGGTGCCGTTTCCTTAAGAGGAGAGAAGGTCTGTGCCACCAAAAGGAACAAGAGCAATGTCTTTCCCAAACTGCGTAAAGGCTCTCTTGCCCCAAGTCATCTCCCACTCCTTTTGATTTGTTTTACCCCCCTGCACTACTGCTGCACCCCACAGTTCCTGCTTTCTGCTGCTTGCTGGTGCAACCGCCTGTGCACCCAGAGCCCGTCTCTGGGATGGCAGACAGAGGAGACTCCAGGCCTGGAGGACACTACTTGCCCGTCCTGTCTCTGCCAGCCAAGTGGAGCTTGTGTCCGGCTTGCCACAACCCTCCCCTGGCCCCACTGCTCCCCGCAGCCACCCCTCCCTTCCTGCCCCTCAGAGCCCGGCCCGACTCGCTCCCAGGTCTCCGCAGAGGGAGTGGAAGGTGCACAAGGCAGCTCAGGTGGCTGCAGACAGTGCAGGAGCCAGGAGCAGGCAGGACAGGCTGGGAAGAGAGCTTCCAGAGAGAGGAGGGAGGTCGGCGAGGGAGAGGACAGAGCAGGTGGCTTCCTGCCACCAGACCCCGCATCGCTGAACACTGGACCACACTTCAAAATTCAACGCTCTACTTTTTGCAATACAAGCAATCATGCCTTCGTCCAAGACACATCTTGCACCAGGTTTCTTCCTTATGTTTACCACTAGCTTTCTGTACCTTACCTTTTAAATTTTTTCTTCTTTTATACACACACACACACACACACACACATATATATATATATATTACAATGTCAGTTATCAGTCACTACTATACTTTCACACCACTCACTGAAAATCCTACCTCCTGAATCTGGAAGAGCTCAAGTCCACTACAAAAATCAGTAACATGAAATCATTTTTAAAATTGCTAAGGGAAGTTCGGGTACAAAATGAAAACATCCCAAACTGTCATCCCAGCTCAGAGTAAAGATTCCTGTCTCCACAAAAGTACAGTGTCCAAACTGTCCGGCTGCTTATATCAGACTGAGTCCAATGTAATGGATTTTGCTGGTCCCTGTAATATAGATGCTATGTTCACTTTGCCTGAAAGAAACCAAATGCTGTGTGGTGCATGGTATAGGCTGCCTGTCTACCTGCTTCATGAGCAGAAAGAGCAGTTCATTTACTGTGGCTGCTGCTTACAAAGTATTCCCTTCTGTAAAGTGAGGTCTTGCCTTGGGCAGAATGATAACGACAACCGTGAGGCTGTTTCAGCATTAAAGTATTCCAAATGAGGCACCGTGGAACCTGAGAAGGTAACAACTAGGAGATTCAGGTCTTTCCAAAGACCACCTGCCCGGGAAGCAAACATGTTTCAACCCCGATCCAGGGGGACAGTTGCCACAGAAGTCGGGCTGCCCAGGAACTACATCTTCTCTACCCTGCTCTCTGCATGGGAAACGCAGACCCGTGTGAAGACCAACACATGAAGACCACCAGGCTCTGAACTAAATGGTATCGACAGTTGTCTGCAGCCAGGTGAGGAGACTGAGGCAGATGCAGTTTCATCTGAGGAAGAATCATTGAGGGAAAAGACAAGAGCTGACAGACCAGAGACGAGAAGGAACCTCCAGCCTCCTGTATACACTCTCCAGATGAAAGACAACACACCTTACACGACTGTGCTCTTGGGCTCACATAGAGGAAGGAGATCCAAAGGCTCCCAGCTGACCAGAAAAAAAAACTTAGAACACCCTGGATTAATGTGCCAAAGTACGACTGTGCACAGCTAGCGATTTAAAACCAACAGAGACGCCTGTTCCTGCCTGCTGTCGGACCCGAGGGGATGGCAGAAGGAAAGGGAAGAGCAGCAGTGCAGACTGAGGTCAGTGTTACCCTGTGGGTTTCTTTGCTTTTCAGACTCTCTGCTGCTGGGGAGCGGAAGCTTAAGGTGACCTGCCAGTACAGCTCCCAGCAATGCACGGCTCGGGGTGCAGGGACCATAAACCTTCCTGGAGGGAACCAAGACCATGCTGAAGGTTCCTCACCGCCCATTAGGCCACTGCTCACCAGGAGATGAGCTTGGGAGAAGCCATTAAGAAGCGAAAGGGGAGCAGAAGTCATCCAACTGCCTCAGCTTGGTTTAAAATTTGAAACGTTAGGGCAGACCAGATTGGAGCCATGTCAATCTTCACCAGCAATAATTTTTTGAGGTAGATTAAAACCAGAGACAACCATTAAAAAATCCAGGGAAAATTCATGCCGTGGCATCTACTGAACCATGGAGCAGCCACCTTCCACAACATTTTCACAAAGTGGTGAGATTGCTTTTGTCAGGCAGCCTGCAGGGGTTTCAACACCGGAGCAGCAATACTGGTTTATAGACATAAAATTGTTATGGTTCTATGAATAGGGTTTTTTTTAAAAAATGTCTATGTGAAGCTCTCAACTATAGTTCTGATGAATCCTCAGTTCCCCAACTTAAGTGACTGAAGACCTAAGCTTATCTAAAAATAAGTGCTCTGTAAATGCCGTGATTGTGATGCTTCACAGACAAGTCATACATCTGACAAAACAGAACTGACAGTCTTTCGAAACACAGAGCCTGGGGCCGGGTGACAAACGCCGCTGACAGCAATTCTCTCTCTTGGGACTAGCGCGAAGAGCACAGCGAGATCAGAAAAGACAGAGCAGGAGCCCACCCCGGGTACTTCCACGCTTCTGACAGACCCCGTCACACCACCATTTTGATCTGCCCGCACTCAGACTGCAACTGAACCACCCCAGGGGAGCACTCTGCACCTTTTGCTTTCTTCAGCCTATGCAATTCTCTCTAATAAATTAGTTCTGCACTGCTAATGACAGCACCGGTTAGGAGAAACTCAGTCAGATGGGTCTCAGCGGGACAAAACCAGAACAGTGCCTATCAGTCTCCTCCCAACACCACCCTGGGAATGACCCTCGGAGGCCCAAGAATGGACTGAGAACCAATTCTTTCATTGCTCTATACTTGGTTTCATGACAATTCTTAATTTGCTATAAAATTTACCTAGGTAACCTCCAGGTAGATGGGGACAAATCTCTATGCATTTTAGGGCGTCGTTCCTACCCGTAATTCTTAGGATTCAATGATTTTTCTTGTCCTTCCTTGACCTGCACCACCCCAGAATCTCAGGTAGTCTCCTGGCAGCAGAGGTGAACAGGACTGGACTAAGGAGCAAACGCCGTTACCCCCTTACCATTCGGACTATCTGTCTGTGTTGGACAGGGGATCTCTGTCCAAGCCCAGAGCCACGAAACCGTGTGTGTTGGATGTAAGCACACGGGAATTGTGCTAATAAAGGACAACACTATTGTCTTAGGCCAGCTCAGGACCAGATCACTAGCCTGACACATTCCATTGATACAGCATCACATTCTGTCCTCTAGGTTTGCAAGGTTCTTCTTCAGTAGTCCTTGCTCAACTCATCTGAGCCTAGCGGTGAAAGTGCCTAAACTAAAGTTTCTTTCACACAAGAGAGGGGCTCCAGAAGCAAACATCTTTGAAGGCTTCAGCATTATTCAGGGAACAGCACGTTACTGGCTTTACTGTCTCAATTCTGAATGCAAACCAAAACAAAAGCAACGCACAAGACGGTCAGAGTAACCCAGCAGCAACCGCCTTGCAGAGCGTTAAGCACTGCTGTGTGGTAGCAAGTCAGAAACAGAAAACCCCTATTTAAGGACAGTTTGCTACTACTAATACTACTTTATTAACCACACAGCTCTATAGGAAATTAACCTAAGCTACAGTATTTTGTTAAATTAGTTCTCTAATTTCCTTCCACCATAATTTGCAGAAGTAATTCTAACCTCACTTTCAATCGTGAAACAGTAGATCCAGATTTACCGTGGAGGCAGATGGTATAAAAATCCCTGGATGCATATACCTTGACTGAGCTCAGCTGAAGTCATTTTGATCCCACACCAACATTTTAGCCAAAAAAAAAATTAAAATGGCCAGAATCAGTATGAACTCTTTGAGTCTTCACCCTTACCTCCTTCCAACGGGCTGTCTCTGTGAACAGAGAGGTTCTCCTCTCCACAGGGCTGCTGACGGACTGCGATGTCACTCCTGTCCCCAGCAGTCTTGCCAGGTACAGAGAGGTTTTCCCCCACAGCAGCCATGGTGACACATGGGCCGCTGGGTGCCGGGGACCTGGGGACCACTCCAGAACTCTGCAGCTGGAAATACACAAAAAATGCATTCAGCTTCCAACTCTAACAAAAGGTGGGCACAAAGAGCATGTACGCGTGGCGTACACTTGAGGCTTCATCTTTTAAGACAGGCCTTGAGCTGCTTAAATTGGGAAGAGCTTTGTAATATGCAGAAGGGGAGGAGAATATTTCAAACTGAAAATCCACTGCATCGAATTGCCCAGAATTGCAGGGACCATGACCTGTATCATGCCTCCCAATCCGGGGTTCCTACAATTCCCTGCACAGGAGTCAAACCCGGCTGGAGATCTAGTGTAAGAGATGAAGTTTCCATACGCTCAAGGCACTTCACATACCCCTCTGAAGTCCTGGTACCAGATACGGTCAGAGACAGGAGCAGATTAACTAAACCAGAAAGCTTTAAGTAAGAGTCCCCATGGTTTTCCTGTTCAAGACATTTTTTTTCCCCCAGCTGATGAAAAACACCAAACATTTTAGTATATAGAGAGATGGGTGGCAGTTACGTATTTCAGGAGTTAGGAATTTTCTTTCTTTCAAAAATTCAGTGAATCTTTATGCAAACTAGGTAGACACATCATTCAGCACTAGGCAAATACACCAACAAGGAAGATTATATACCTGTACCTAAACAGAGAAGTAGACAGAGCTAACTTACCTTCCTCAGACTGTGCTCTGCCTCAGTGGGCACACTGATGGGACGCAACTGCCTCCCTCTTGTCACCCCACTTCTCAGTGTCTTTCCATCTTTTTGCTGGGGTGGAGGTGGCGTTGGTATCAGACCAAAAACGATGGGAGACCTGTCAGTCGTGCCTTCCACCACATTTGGGCCTTCACGCCTCTCCTCCTGTGAAAAGATTTTAACCAGGTTAAATAGGTTATGCAAAACCAGCGACCGAGCGCATTGAACCAACCATGGTTTGACAGCTCCTTACACCTAGTAAGACGTGTGTGTACTTCTAGAACAATTCCGTAACTCGGTTCTTGCAATTGCGTTCATGAAAAGATTTCTGTGCTAAAACCCTTTCTTTTAATTTGCAAAGCACGAGGCAGACTGCTTGGGATCGTCACCCCCACAGGTATACAGGGCACTGTGAGCCGGGCACCGCTTGTAACCGTGCAGAGTTCTGGTCCCCGGCAGACAGAACCCCACGGCCCTGCTGCGTTCCCTCTGCTGGCAGGTAACATCGCTTGGCATCGATTACACAAGATGTGGTTCAAAACGCTTCTCGCATTTGTGGTGGCGGTCTAGTCCTCCTTCAGGATGAGACACAAACAGAGGCCCAGGGTCCTGAACAGCAAAAGTCACCTCTAGAGAATAAATTCTGCAAACGCCGCGTGTGCTGGGTCTGCGCTCTGCGCCATGTCTGCATACCCTGTGACCTATCTGGCTGTTTGGTCAGCAGGGAGCATTAAGTAGAAAGTGCCAGCAAATTCTTGGAGAAAGGATCCTGCCCATCACCATACAGAGCAAATGCAGGAGGAAGCTACTCGTCCAGTGTCTGCCAGGCAGTGGTCACATTCCAAAATCCCCCAGTCCCATGGAACTCCTAACACAAAACCGATCACACCATGTCTTTCTAAAACAGAAATCCAAATCTCACCTGAAAGTAACTGTGTATGTATCAGATCATGTCTGGCTACTCCAAAAAGCTCTCATTCTCTGAACCTGCTAGACTGACTTAGCAGGAGGAATGGTAAAAAAAAATAAAGAAGTTTTTTGCTACTTTGCAGCTGTAGATGAAGATGAAAACTTGTAAGACTGTGAAAATATTCCTGAGTTCTTGGAGTTAACCAGGTGGCTGCCTCCCCCTCTACATAACAGTCTATGTGGAGGGAGAAAATTATGCATGCAGAGATTTTATACTATAAAAAATAAGTCACCACATTTTTCTTCCCTGTGATCAAGAACTGGGCATTTGACCAGTAAGTCAATGTCTTGAAAATTAAGGGGGCGTTAAAAAGGAGAGTTTAAGTAAAAGCTGATGGCTGTTTGGAAGGCATGCTGCCTGCAGTATACAGTTCTGGGAACTCCAGTACTAAAGCAGTATTATAAAGCTGTCCCTAAAATCACGTTATTTCCAGACAGAACTATGGCCTCACCCTGCCAGCAGGCTGTTGGCTGGGTTTAGGTGCCGGGCACTTCTTTTCAGGTGTTGCAGTCTTCACAGCCTCTTCTGCAGCACTGATGGGAAGAAGTGGGAAACGGAGGGACTGCTGCAGGTACTGTGGAGCTGTATGTGGTCTTCTGCAAGTCTAGAAAAGGAAAAAGAAAACAGGTACAAAATCTCAGTGTACAGTTTCCAGTGCAGAGCAGCATCATAAGGGGAAAAAAAAAAAAAAAAAAAAAAGCAGCACTGATGGAGGTCTTTGGAAGTGATGAGCGATTCTCAAGTACCTTCAGGAAATTAAATTTTCTAGTCTGCCTCCGAAGAGCCAGGCACCTTTAGGCATCTCTCACTGAGCACCCAGACACTGGAGCACCCAGAATAACTCTTGACCATAAGTACAGGTTTTGCTGCTGTCTCCTCACGTGAGCTCACAGGCACGCAGCCGTGTGCTCCAGCACACGCACACCGAGAATGCACACCAAAGCAGGCCTATCTTTGCTCAACACTCAGCATTTCTATGACCCGTTAGTTCACCTTTTCCTTGTATACCCCTCAGAACACCAAGTTCAAAGCCTGTTTCTCCGAGTTAACTGGCTGGCTCAGAAGAGGCAGGCTCCTTGGATCAGCGTCGATGCCATGGTGTCCACCATCACACACAACTACAGGCCCAAGCGTCCTCTCTCTGCAGAGGAGGTTACTCAGGACTGAAAATCTCACTTCAGTCTGCACCCACAATCTTCACCGAAACCAAGATCCAGTTAAAACTGAACTATCTATTTGACCTTGGACCTTAGACGTTAGCATCATTATATTTCAAGAGTATATTAACATTCTCCCTCTGCCTGTTAACAGAGAAGAAGAGGTTTCTGAGCCTGAGCTCCAAAGCACGGCCTTCAGGATGAGCTTTAGTCGTACTTCACCCCTTCACATGTTTCCTAAAAGACCTCCGTTGCTCTCAGGATTTTGGAAGGTGTGTGAACAGCCTACAGCCACAGCACTCATTGACAAGACAATGTACTAACACTGGCCTAGTCTTGGGCAACAAGGCAGAGAAAAGGGAAGGATTAAAGCAGATTTATCACAAAGACTTCTTTTTTTCTAGGTTCTGATGTGCCATTCCTGCAACATCAGCTTCTGCAGACTTCTCTCTAATGACACAGCCCTGCTAACAGGAGGTCGGCCCCAGGGGAGGGACGTTGGGCAGTCACTGCTCTAGACTAAGCCCAGACCTCACAGGCCTACGTGCACGCCTGGCCTGCGCTGTGTGTGCTCACGCCAGCGCCTTCGGGTGCTGATAAAACTCACCCCTTGTCGGGAGCGAACGGCTGGTTCTCTGGAGATGGGAGGGAAGAGCCCACGACTTCTGGGACAGGCTGGTGGGTGAGGGACACGTATAAACATGGCACTTCCCGCTGGTCTTCTGGCTGGTTCCACCTACAAGATAAAATTACGTCTCTGAGGTACTAAACTGTGTAAAAGAGGCAAGTCAGCATCGGCCTGCCAGCTCTAACAGCAGTGTCTGAGCCAGCCTGCCAGCTGCCTGTCACTGGACAGCTGTGACACGGGGACGCCTGCTTAAGGAAGGAAAGGAAATCATGGGGAGAAGGAGAGGGACGAGGGGAAACACCTGTTCCCACCTCTGACTCATTCCCCTGCAGCCCTCTCCAGCTGCTGATCCTCCCAAATTCAATTCATCTGCCTCTTTCCGCGTATCTCCCAGTTCTTGGCTTGGCTGAAGGTCTCTTTCTCTTCTAATTTTGAGTGCACCTGCCACTTCCTTGCTCTGCTGCTGCCCCTCCCTCCCTTCTCTTTCCAAAAGCCCCACACGGGGCTGAGCACCCTTCCGGAAAAGGCAGCTCAGTCTCTCATCCTCCCTTGCTCAGTCATCTGTCTCTCCTTTCCTTTCACGTTAGCTACTCAGCCGGATTCACCACAGCTGAGGGTTAAATCACACTGCTAACTGCAGGCCGGTCCCTGTGCCCGGCGCGGGTCCGCAGCAGACACAGATCACCCAGCTGCGGGGCCGTGGTTCAAGCCCCCTGCCGCCAAACGCCAGGCAGCCGCTCACTCACCCCCAACCCTGGGGCACGGGAGAGGGAACTGGAGGGGCAGACGGGGGGAGACTCCGCGGCTGAGATAGAAACAGTTTAACAACTGAAGTGAAATAAACCAACAATATTAGAAAGTATAAACGGGTAACGCAGGAGGCGCCTGCCACCGCCCACTGGCTGACACCCCACCCGTTCCCAGCTGGTGATCCCGGAGCAGCCAAGAACCCGACAAAGCCATCCCAGAAGGAGAGAGAACCAACCCCTTCCCAGCCGACCCTCCTTCACATCCTGAGCGTGACGTTACACGATCAGGAATATTCTCTGCCCAGTTTGGGGCTGCTGCTCCAGCCGTGCCCCCTCCCAGTTTCTTGTGCACTCGCCCGCGGGCAGGACAGGGGCAGTTGGAAAGTCCTTGGTCTCTTGGCAGCAATGGCAGACATCCCTGTGCTATCAGCACTCTTCTGATACCAAACCCCACACTGAATCCAAACACAGCACTATTCTAGCTACTAAGAAGAAAAATTAACGCTGTCCCAGCCCAAACAGGACAGCAGGGCTCTCCCCTACACTCCCCACTGAAGGAAGCAGTTTGGGTTTATGTTCCAAATCACCCAAGTCCAGGCTCCATTCACAGGCTGCCACTGGAGTGACTCTGCCAGCAGGACTTCAGTCAGTAAACAGTGCAACTGCCACAGCCATCGCTGTCTGTCACGAAAATCTCCTCCTTCCTTTACCACTTAAAGGTATTATTTAAAATCAGAAAGGTTTGACATTGCTTTTCAGCTGCTCCAAGCAGCAGCTAGCTTCACAATGCATTCTTCTCGATGGACACAGGCTCCTAATACAGAAATATGATGCTGAGTATATTTCAGCCAGAATCAGAACAATTTGTCCCATGTGAGTCCAAGTGACTTCAAGGGGAGAAGAACCACGGACTTCTGTGGGACTTCCATGACTAACAACTACAGAACCAAGCTCTACCTCCATGACACCAAAGCAAGGGCTTCTGAAACCTCTTTTCATTACTTACATGCTGGTTCTGCTAATTAGGGTGTGGAGAGGCAAACAATTGAAAATACGATCTCAGTGTGCAGCTGCAGTCCAGAGCAGAGAGCGTCTAGAATTACTACAAGAACTGCAACACGTAGCCTGAATTATTCATCCTGTTCTGGTTCCCCATTTCAAAACAGAAACAGTAGAACTAGGAAAGGCTGAAAACTGGCAACAGCAATGAGAAGCCTGGAATGGCTCATGGGTGAAAGCCTCAATAGACTGAGACTCTTCAGCTTGGAAAGCTGAGAATATGAAAAAGGTGTGTAAAACTACAAATGCCTTGGAAAAGAACAGCTATTAACTCTTTTCATAAGGAGAGCAATGGAGCACCAAACGGAATTATCAGACAGCAGATACATTAATTATTGTGCAGAAATGTGAGAAAGTGCCATTTTCTACAACTCCTAATTAAATTCCGCAACCAAGCACACTGCAGAACCAAAATAATAAGTAGATCCCAAAGGAATTAGGTGCGTGAATGGAAGTTCCTGACTGCTGGACAGAGGAAGGAGGAGATGTAACCCAGGGCAGGATCACCCTCTACTTACCCGTTTCTTGTACTTTTTTCCACAAACCTTAGAGACAGAGCCCTTGGCCCAGCGAGCCTCTGGCCAGAGCCCTGATTTAACCCC